TACGTTTGCTTCATCGACAATCCCACCAAAGAATATGGTATGACAAAAGGTCTGGCCTTCCTTGAAATTCCCATCTGCCCTGTGACCAAAGGGCACTTGTGGCAATGTGGTCGAGTGGTTAACGTGTCAAGCTCCTATTCTGCACTGTCATGGTTCGACTCCTGCTGCGGGTATTCATAAGACCGATGCGAGGCCGAAACTGCAGTCCACCCTGGATGAGAACAAGTTCTGGGAAAGCAAGGCTATGTGAAGTTCAATGGAAACGTCAGCTCTGCTCATATCATTGTGGAAAAATTCTACTATCAGTCCTTCATTACCTTAGACGAAATAGGGTGAATACATTTCATATTACTGATTTAGTGGTATTCTCGAAACTCTACTAAAATACGAAAAATATGATATGCTATTTTGAAAATTAATGAAGCCACTAAAAACAATTCGTTATTGGAATGACCATTAATTTAGGGCGCGTATTAGGCGGTCATCCACTAAAACGTCTTCAGAATGCACAGATCAACATGTCTAATTATGTGAAAGAAAGATTGATAACTATAATTATTATTACATAGTTGCAGACCAAAGTAACCAATGTAAGAAATAACGAGTCTGGACTCCAATGGGACATGATTGGGAGTTCTGATTAAGCCAAGACACAAAAACAAAAAAAATGATACAACGCTAAAAAAACGTAATGAACAATACATGTATTTTAACGTTAATAATTAATGAAAGTGTATTATAAAAGATAACTTACTCAATTCCTGATCTACTTAAAATCGGTCTTAAACCTTGTGCCGCTCCATCTATCGAAGGACTGATGCCAACGCCTGTCTGCCGGACGATTCCCTGAGCCTCAGTCGTGCCTACAACAAGCATAGAGCCGGCTGTAGAGTGTTGAGGGGCTGTCGCGGCTACAAGACCTTTCGATTCCAGCATCGCCAACTGCGAGCTGGCCATTTGACGGCCAAGTACAGCTGGAGTCTGGCCCTCGACTACTTCCAGCGAACTAGATATTGTTTGTTGCTGTTGTTGAGACTGCTGACCCTCGCCTAACCATATTTGAGAGCGCTCTACGCATTCCTTAGCCATGCAAAATAGCTCCCGTTTGTGGAACAAAAGGGCCGGCTTAAAGCGACATATCTGAGCAGCTGCTTCGTTTAAGGCAAGCTTTAAGGTCGGAATACCAGAACGGACAAAAGAGTGGTTGTGAATAAGAAATAATTGAATAAAATAACACTAAATAAGTAAAAACAATGATAATAAAGAGATTGGTCCCCGATCTTATTAGTATGTCTTTAAGTCTACTTCAAAGGAAAAATACCGTAGAATAGAAAACTTGGCTTAAATCCCTTTATTTGTTAACATTCGAACAAGTATTATTCATAGTAAAAGCCAGAAAAGT